TGCGTGTGTTGTGTGTGTTTAGGGCGGGGGAATTATGGTGGTGGCAGCGGTGACGGTTGTGTGTGGGGGGAAGGGGGAAATGTGTGGGTTTGTGTGTGGGAGGGGGAAGGGGAGGGGGGAAGGATGTGTATGTCCGTACGTCTATCTGTGTGTATAGGGGTGTGTGGCCAAGAATGGGATGATTGGCTCGAACCGGCGAGAGGGCGGGAGAGGGCGAGAAACCCCTCTTACGAATCTGAACCATCTGCTGACCTGTCAGTCTGTCTGTCGACATCTGACCCCCTCTGTGTGTTTTGTTTCCCCCCCTCATATCCCCCGCTCCCACTCAGATCTGGTCGCATCACGGAGGTGTTGTGGTTTCAGCCGCTGCCCCGAAACCCCAACCCGGGCTCCCGGGGATTGTGGGGAGGTGATCGAGAGGCCGTACGGACGGCAGCGGATGGCAGGTGCCTGCTGAGATACGCCAGCGGCCAGGTGCGTGTGTCTGTCTGCGTATCTGTTTTGTCTGTCTGTCTGTCTGCGGATCTGTCTGTCGGGTTTCATGGCGGGAGGGGTGATGGCGCCGGCGGGTGAAAACTGAAAAGGGTTCTGTAAGGCCTCCTTTGGTGTTTCACACGGGCCGCTGCCGTACATGCTCCGTACATGATTCGCGAACACCGGTACCTAAGGTTCTAGGTTCCTCGCACGGTCGCGTACTCCCCCCGGGGTTAGTGGGGGGTTAGTGGGGGTGGGTTAGGGAGTGGTTGGGTGGGTTACGTTGACGTGGAGCCGCCCTCCCTGGCTCTCTTAGTTCGTTTAATTTAACCGTTTTCCTAATTAGGCAAACCCCGAGACTCGCCGAGCCTCCCTTTCCGACCCCAATACACACACATTGACCCATGGCCCTGCAGGTGAAGCAGTCTGTGATACCGTACGGCGAGCCTCGCATCATGCAGGTACGACACCTTTGCAAAATAGGGTTTTATGTTTGGAACGCTGCAGCTCGAGAAGTTGTCTTGGCGCGGGGATTTGCTGTACATATTGCCAGACGGACATACACCAAAACACACGTGCACATACGTACATACATACATATATAGGGTTTGGCACTACTGGTAACGCGCGACCATTGCCCCCGGAAGATCCCGGGATCGATACCCATTAGGGTCAAAAGTCCTTCCGATGGTGGAAGGCATTGCGCCCCTAGTTGATGGACGGTGGTGACCTGGGATAAAGTTAACCTGCGAGCCGACCAGGAATGGAGTTGGGCCGCTGTCGACCCGGCAGATTCCATTGGATGCCGGTGGTGGGTGCGGAACCTGAGCGATCCACTGAGAAGTTGACTAGGGTGACTAGATGAGGGTGCCCCGAAATACCGGGGAAGGCAGGGTTTCGCAGGGTAGCTGCCACGGGCGAAGATACACCCCCCTGTTTCACACATCATACATACATACAGGCGATTCACGAGCACGGCGCCGCAGCGGGCTTCATCCCTCTGGAGCCGCGTCACATGCCGGAGCTGGCGGCTGTACGGCAGGCTAACCGTGCCGTATCCAATGACCCCGTGGCCGAGGTGGTTGGTACGGCAGCTTTGGATGCGGACACCGTGACGGGTGTGCCGGTTGAACCCCCCGAGGTGCGCGTGTGACATATGCTGTGTGTGTGTATTGGTGGGGGGGTTATGTCGACCTCCCACAGCCCCTTCCCCCGGGGGGAGAGGGGGGTGCTGCTTTTGAAACACATTTTGAAACACATTTTGAGTCGACAGTTCCCCCGTTCATGAGCGGATGGGTCAGATAAATTGGGCTGGTCGGCAAGACCCCGGAGGGCTGGTAACTTCATTTTGTGACCACTCCTTCCCCCCCCCCCACACACACACCTCTTCGCCCCCCTCCCCGCACACACATACGTACACAGATACGCAGACATACATACGTACACACACACACTTAAATTCCTGGTTTTTCTCCCAACCTCCCTCCCTTCCCCCCATCCTCAGGGCATGCGGCGGGGACCCCCCATAGGGCCCACAACACTCGAGGCCTTGCTAGCGTACGGCACCCGGGAACAGTTGGACGAGACTTTGTCGTACAACCGAGAGGTGAGCGCTGTGTCGTAGGTGCTACTGGCGCCGGTATTTCCCCCAAACTTCGCCCATCCCTCCCCCCGCAAACCTCGCACACGGTAACCTCACATCGCTATGCACTTCAGTACGGCAGCTTAGTAATTTGGACGTCCGTACGGCAGTTCATCTTGTCCTTGCTCTCCTTTGCGTCATTGTGTAACGTTCCACCGCCCAGATGAAGATACCAACAAACAGACCACATAAACCACAGCCCCCAACCCCTTGATCGCTTCGGACTCACCCACTAGGGGCAGTCTGAAAAAAGTTTCAGACTTTGTGTGCCCTCCGGCCGTCAGGGCAGCAGTTCATTTTTCTGAACATTTTTCTGATCAGTTATTTGATTTCCTCGCAATGCGGTGGTTTCTCTCCTCCTCCCCATCCCAATTATTAGCCCTAAAGCCGTCCCTGAATCCCCCCCACCAC